GCTTCGTAAGAAGCATTTCAAGGTCCTGGAGTGGCCTAGCCAGTCTCCAGATCTCAACCCCATAGAAAACCTTTGGAGGGAGTTGAAAGTCCGTGTTGCCAGCAACAGCCCCAAAACATCACTGCTCTAGAGGAGATCTGCATGGAGGAATGGGCCAACATACCAGCAACAGTGTGTGCCAACCTTGTGAAGACTTACAGAAAACGTTTGACCTCTGTCATTGCCAACAAAGGATATATAACAAAGTATTGAGATGAACTTTTGATATTGACCAAATACTTATTTTCCACCATAATTTGCAAATAAATTCTTTCCAAATCAGACAATGTGATTGGATTTGTTTTCTCATTTTGTCTCTCATAGTTGAGGTCTACCTATGATGTCAATTACAGGCCTCTCTCATCTTTTTAAGTGAGAGAACTTGCACAATTGGTGGCTGACTAAATACTTTTTTTCCTCACTGTACCATTCTTGATGTGTTATTGATGCATCTTTGTATTGTTTTATTGTTGATGTATCTTTTATTTATATCAGTACAATAAGTGTTGTGACAGAGTTCCCAGTCCTTGGACATTGTTATAAAAATGTTCAGCTCTATTTTTCAGTATCGCCAGATATTGACTTTCCGAAGGCTGAATCACTTTAAACACCAGATATGCATTTGAGAACTTTGTTTTATTTCTTTATTTTTATTGCATTTATATCTTCTGCAGTCAGATGACTCTTGGCAGTTTTATGAGGACTAAAGATTTGATCAAATGTTCAGGTGATCTGTAAAAATCAAGTGTTTCTCTTTATTTTTTTAAAAAAAATCCAGATGTCAGTGTTATGGATCTGATCAACTGACTTCTGTAAAATATTCCTGTGCACTAGATAATTAATAGGATGTTTTTTAAACAATATAATGAAGCAGTGTTCAAATGTAGAAAAGCTATTTTAATTTCGGTAATTGACCAAATTTAATTTTTAAGAAATTCTTCTGCTAAAATACCATGTTTATGAACCAGCCCTTGCCTTGGGTGAAAGAAGATAGTTTTTCTGTTTGGTTCATCTTCCTAGTTCTTACAGATACAAAGATAAGAAACTCTGCAGATAGTCCTTGACTTATGTCCTTTTGTGTAGCAACCATTCAAAATTATGATGCTGCCGAAAGATGTGAATTACAACCCGTTGAACATTATACACATTGCCAACAACCATTGCACTGTATCTGCAGTCACAGGAACACTATTTGTGACCTTCCCAGCTAGCTTCCAACAAGCAAAGTCGGGGGGGCGGGGAGAGCCAGATTTGCCTAACAGTCGCATGATTGCTTAATTACCATGGTGATTCCCTTAACAACAGTGGCAAAAAAGGTAATAGGAGCAGGCATGACTTATTTAACAACTACTTTGCTTAGCAGTGGAAGTTCCAGTGACAATTATAGTCATAAGTCAAGGACTACCTATACATTATTTAGAGTGCCTTCCTTTGACACTGCTTTTTTCACAATGGCTATATTGGCATGTGTTTCATATTGGATTATCATTTCTGTTACTTAATTGGTACTTCAGTTCCCTTGGGTATGAGATGTAAACTATTATTAGCTTGCTTTGGTGATATTTTCATGAGCTAGAAAGAGATATTAAAAAAGCCTTTATTTTCAGGATGGGAATTACTTCATATATGTGCAGCATTGCAATCCATACATCCTTCAGAGGTTTAAATTTGGACAAGGAGTTGGGTCATCTACTGCCCTGAGCTTTGCGGCATATTTGAAAAACACGGTTATCACACTCTTTTGCTTGTGTAAGTGTAACTGTATTTTCTAATTAAGTTTAATTTTAAAACAGAGTCCCAGTTTAATGACAGTGTTACTTTAGATACCAAAAAACCCCCGAGAGAGTGCTTTGTAAATATGTGTTCTGCTCATTAGTCAGGAGTTTACAAATAGTCTTATTTTCTATTATAGCCATATAAGCATAAACATATAAAATGCATTTAGTTCTGGACGCTGATTAGAATTACATGTGATGCTAAACATTGTTTTAGTAGTCTTAGTATTTTGGAGAAGTCATAATGGCCTGGTTCGCCCATAACATTAAGCATAAACTATGACTTACAAATTACACTAGCAAAACTCCCACCAGCAAGAATGAATTAAAGCAGAGGTCCCCAACCTTTTGGGCACCAGGGACCAGTTACGTGGAGAGAGGTTTTTCCGTGGACCAGAGGGGGCGTGGTTTTGTGTGCTGCCTGCATCCTGTGGATGGGGCTTTTTTTTGTGCAGACTGATTGCTGGCATACCGCAGCCGGTACTGGTCCATGGACCGGAGGTTGGGGACTCCTGAATTAAAGCACATCATAGTGCATGATGTGGATCAATATTACAAGAGAATGGTACTTGTTTTTATTTATTTGCTCCTTTAGATATTGAATATTTAAGGCTGTTTTAGGCTGTGTGGGAGGATTGTATGTAAATGCTTGGCCAGCTATATTACTCTAGGGTTGATTGTTACTAGTCATTTTAACATAGACAAACATGGCAGGGAAATAAATTTGCTTCAGCTTTTGGAAGTAATCTGGCAAGTGACATTATTTTTAATTCTTTGATTAGTTTCTTAGCTAAGGCTTGGGTGTGTTTGTGTGCATACGTGAACTACATATACCAGTGGAAGAAGTTCATAGATCTGTAATAACTGACAGTTCTAGTTTTCTTGTTTATTATTGTAAATTAAGATGTGACTTGAATTTTGTATACAGATTCCAATGGCTGTGTGTATAAGATTCTGATACCACTACAAGAGAATAAAACAGAAGATACACAGATTTTACCAATATCAGTTCTGCTCAAACTCAGTGTGAGTGGAAGTATTCTTAAAGGAACTTCAATTGTGATTCTTGATAAAGATCATATTGCTGTAACAGGATGCCTGGATCCCTCAGAAAGTAATATCAAAGGTAAGCAATTGAACAATTCAACTGAAATAACTTAGATTAACAATTGGATCAAAACAAAAGGAAAACATCCAAGAAACATTTGGAAAAGCATTAACAATAAGGACCATGATATGTAGAATTAAAAAATAGTGGAATTTGATTGGAACTTACTGATAATCAACAGCGAGGGAAGTCAGGAAAGATTCCACAAGGTGATAGAAAATGAGACACTGATTCCAGAAAACATTATTCTTTCCAATGCTCTAGTGCAGACCTGGGCATTTTACAGCCCACGGGCCAATCCAGCCCATAGCAGCGGGGGGGGGGGGCATAGTGTCAGCAGCACCAGGGATGGTGGTACGGCATCTGTGGTGGTGGGGGCAGGGTATCCGCCCTCCACAACAGTCCCAATTTCTCATGTGGCCCCTTGAGAAATTAATTGTCCACCCCTACCCTATTGCAATGAGACACTTGATTATTAATAGCATTCAGCAAAAATGATCTGATGTGGTAACTACTGTGGGGGTCCAGTATATTTGCCAGCATACTTTTAATTAGTTTCCAAGTGACGTTTTATAAATGAGAACTGTGCATATGTAAATTGCTCACTGTTTGATGAGTTTCGTGTTTCCTCTTGGTAGACTGCTTTTCAATATGGAATATTAAGTTTCAGACTCTGGAAGCATCAAAAGATTTGCCACAAGGAACAACAGGACAAGTAAGCTGAGACCAGTTATTTCATTTTAACATATCTATGACAATTTTGTCATAATAGAAACCCATGCTTATCTAAGAAGAAATGTCCGTGTTTTAAAATGTTTCCCTTTCGCCAATGAATATATATAAGTGAAGCTGAAGCCTAGGTGCTCCCTTTTCTTACCTTGCTAAGGGAGAATAGAACAGAATAGAACACCCAAGCATGATTAAACACAGAGAATTTGTCTCCAGTGCAGAAACTCTTAGTATACATGCAAAACATCATGTAATTTTTAATTTGATTGATGGAGGAAATAGTTTAATACATGGGGAATTAGCACATTAAATATACTTAATTCAGTAACAATTAATTAAAAATTAAATTCAATCAGCTTTCACTTTGCTTTGGCTTCATGTTTTTTTTTAGAGAGTGCTACCATTCTATTCAAAATCAAATACAGCTTGATAAAGGTTGTGTATGCCATGTGAATATAATTGTTTTGTAATGAAATAAAGCAGTGATTTTCATTATTTTGTAAAGTGGAATTAGACATGGGTTAGACCAGACATCAGAGAAGGTGGAGCATTGAGCCAATTGCTCTTCTCCCAACCCAGGTTTTCAGATTATTTTTGCTGGTTTTCTTTGACTAATATCCAACTAATTGGCAAAATGAGCAATAAAAGGATGTCTATGAAGGGTAATTCCTCAAACAGACGAATTAAAGATTTGGATGAGTCAGAAAAACATGGCAATGGAGGAAAACATTAACAAAATTAATTAAAAATAAATTAAAATCAATGTAAGGATAATGTGAACTGAAAAGCAAGCTTAACATAATGCGCTTAAATATGTCCTGTGTGTGTTGGGAGAAGGGATCGCCCAGCGGTCATGTTACAGGAATCATATATATCAGATAAGATTTTGAAAAGATTATTTTTGGTGGGAGGGACTAGCAAGTCAAAAGGGGTAGCCATTTTATTTAAAACCAATAAAGTTTTACAGTAGAAAAAAGATAGGACTTATTTTAATTGAAGGAATAAAAGTATAAATAACATTGGCCTCTAAATGTATATCAGATGATACTCAATCAGGATTTACACAAAAAATTAGAAAAGCTCTGAATAAATTTGGCTGGCAGAATTTCGTTCTAGAAGGCAGTTGAAGTATTTGCTGGTTTACAAGTGATAGAACAGGTTGTTAGAAAATAGAAGGCCACCTTAGCATTAAGAGATTGCCAAATTTGATACAACTGCAATAAGGTAGTCCTCGACTTATAACCACAATGCATTCACTAAGTGAATCGCTAAACAAATCACATAATGACCCCATTTTACAACCATTTTTACCGTGTTTAAGTGAAACACTTTGATTGTTAAGTGAATCATGGTGTCATTAAGCGAATCACATCATTAAGCTATTCCAGCTTCCCCAATTGATATTGCTTCTCAGAAACCTTCTGGGAATGTCACATATGATAATCATATGACTGGAGGATGCTGCAACCAATTGTAAATGCGAGCCACATACCTAGTGCCTGAATAGTAATCACATGGCTGCAGGGGTGGTGCAATAGTAGTACCTTTGAGGACAGGTTGTAAATCATTTTTTCCAGGACCATTCTAACTTTGAAACATCATTAAACAAACAGTCCATAAGTTGAAGTCTACCTGTACAGTTTATTGATATTTAGAATATTATGCATCAATTAACAAAAAGTCTATTCTACTTATTTGGTCCAGTAATTTGGGGGTTTAATTTGAATGTCAAAAACCAATTTATTTAATTCTAATTTGCTATATAATTGCAAATAAAATATTTTGCCTCAGAATGTGGGCGATCTTTTTTTTTTTTTTTTTTTCAAAAAATGGCAGTTTTATGAATGTTAACCATAAAATGAGGCACCATGAAGGCAGTAAAAGATGAATGTTTTAAAATCAAATAAACAGAATTTATCAGAACTCTACAAAGATGATGAATGTATCACATTTCAGAATTAAGGATTTGTGGATAAGTTATAACGAACACTATTTTATTAGTATCTACAGATATTTTGGAAAGTGATAAGAACAATTACTACATAATATTAGCCAAAAGGTTTTGTGGAATAAAATCCCAGAACAGCAGAACACCAATACTGGAAGGAGCTGGCCTAACTAATGGGTTCCATAGATATTTCTGATACAGGGACGCTAATGTCAGGTACAAGCAACTGGAGCCATCCATAAACAGCTATAATAAGCAGTTTTATTGTTCTCTGCCTAAGTTACAGGAATCTCCCCAGATTGCTTGCCTTCCTCTGGGAAGGACCAGATAAGGCTTCATGGATCTTATGGGAGATCAAACTTACGCCACTTGCGACTGTGCAAGGATTCCAAACTGGGTCCCTGCTTGACCCCTCCATCCAGCCTTGCTGACAATTTCCCAACACAAAACAGGATAAAAACCTTTTATAAGACAAAGCTTGGTAAAAGTATGCAACTCTATGAGGAAAATAGTAAGTCTAAAAATATCACCATTAGTCTCTCACCTAAATGGTTTTTATGTTGGAGATAATTATAGTAAGAAAAGTGTAATTGCATATCCAAAAATGGTCCACTCAGACCTCATGAATAAATTAAAGATACAGCAAAAATTACTCAGCAAAGGCTGGAATGTATTACGGCTGACATATCTACAAATTGCTGGAAGAATGAAATCTGGCCTCAAAAGGAAAACATTTTTGTTCAATACTAAAAAATTAAAAATTAATAGAAGGAGCATATCTAAGCCTGAGAAACAAGGAAAATGGATAGTTCCATTTTCAAAATTACATTATTTTGAAGGCAAATCATTTGGGACATACTAGCTTCATAATTTGAATATTCAGCAAGGCAATGGACACAGCTACAAAATATATAAAAGACAGACAGAGCCATGAGCCATTTTTTTCTTCTTTTAGAAATCAAAAAAAGCTACATTTGGGTCTGAAAAAAAAGACATGCACCTTTGATAATGGGCATCTCCCTCCTAAGCCTTTTATTGATATTGTATATCCAGGATCCTATCATCAGAACAGGTAACAACTAAAGCCTTAGAGGAATCCCTGTTTCAATAGAGTAAGATACTTCTACTGTAATAAGAGACCAGGTAATAATGAAGAGGTTTGAGTTACAGATAAGTTTCCCTCTCTCCTGGCTAACATAGCTCTGTCCATGTATGATATGCCATATGCTAAACAAACAAACGTAGCTCCAACATAAATCTTCTCTGAATAGAAGCCTTTTTAAATAAAATTAACTTACCGCATTTAGATGATATACAAAAATCTTTTTTGCTCCTCTATCCACAGTAGAGATTCAACAGATAATGTTAAAAATGGCAAGTGGCAAAACACCAGGACTAAATAGGTTTCTTATCTAGTATATAAAATATAAAGGAGGTCACATTTCGTTATTTAATTTCTTCTGAAAAATTAATCATTAATTAGCCTTTCCAACCCAAAAGCACCATCTGAATGATAATAAAGATAAAAGGTGGAAGCGTATATGTTCACTAATTATTTTCTGCTGGCATACCATATATATATGTATGTATGTATTTGTTTATTTCAGTGTTGGGCTTATGATAATAAGCTATTCATAATACATGGCAGAGAATTAGAAGTAATCCTATACAAGTGCGAAACATCCTCTTTGGCTGCTGCAGTTGGAAAAAGCAAGGATACATACATTTCTGGTAGGAATTTAACTGCAATGTTTTTCAATTATAGCAGTAGCAGTAGCACTTAGACTTATATTCAGCACCCTCTAAGCCAGGGGTCCCCAACCCCCGGTCCGTGGACCAGTATCGGGCCACAGCATGCCAGCAACCGGTCTGCACAAACAAGCAAAGCCCCATCTGTAAGATACAGGCAGCACACAAAACCACGCACCCTCTGGTCCACGGAAAAACCTCTCTCCACTGAACCGGTCCCTGATTCCCAAAAGGTTGGGGACCTCTGCTCTAAGCGGTTTACAGAATCAGCATTATTCTATATATAAAATAGTAAAGTGCTTTTGGAAAATTACATGTTAACCATTTAAACCAAAAGGATTTATCTTATGCTTTGTTTATTATTAGAAGGCATAGTTGAGCAGTGCGGTGGCCTAGAAGTGAAGATGTTCACCTCCCATTCAAAAGGTTGAGAGTTCAATCCTAGGCAGCCCACAAATGTTACTTTATCAGGGTGCAAAGAGAAAATACATGCTGCAAACTCCGTGTAGGCATCAGGAAGGGCATTTGGCCAGTAACTGCTCAGCGCCATTCAGTCTCCCCGACTCCACCCCGATAAAAGGGATTACAGGATCATAAAAAGAAAAAAAAATAGGGGGCATGTTTCTTAGGCTTTTTAGTACAAAAGCTGTAATGACTTCCTCCAAGTTCTAAGAATGCAATTAATAAAGCTGGTGACAATTCTCTTCCTGCTTATTTCTTAAGTATAACCAATTGTAATATTTATTAGTCAATTAATTGAAAGTTGTGAATTGATTTTAAAATGCCCCACTAAAAAGGTTTTTTAATGATTGAAGTTCATATGTGTTTGTGGTTCTTTAAATGATAAGGTAGGGGAGCTACTGATCAGCTTACAACTTAAAAGAGAGGAGAAATTTGCACTGTGGAAAAAGAGAACAGGCAAATATGAAAATGAGGAAGTTCATGCAGGACTTGGATGCTGTGGGAGGCTAGCATAAAAAAATAATAGGACTGGCCATGCTTTAAAAATGTTTCAGAAGAGATATTCCAGAATATGTGGTAGTGCAGCACCTTTTTAAAAGCACCCACATCTTTTTTGAAAGGTCATACAGAAGCCTGAAGAAAATTGCATGTTTAGTTTTTAGGATTGTGGGACCAAGGTCTATTTCTTGCTGCTTATATTTCTCTTTCAACACTGCAGTATTATTTCTATTAAGAAATCAGGGGAAATAATCCAATTAAATAACCAGGTAATCTTCTATAGC